GGCAGCGACAGCGGCGGCGGCGGCGACGACAGCGGCGACGGCTGCGGCGGCGACGGCGACGGCGGCGGCAGCGGGGTCGGCGACTGCGACAGTGGGGGCGGAGGCACCGGGGAAGGGGGACGCGGCAAGGACGGACCGGGGGTACCACCAGAGTCAGCAGACTCCTCAACGGGGACAACCGACGGGAGGGGAGTGACGTGGGAGACACCAGACGGGGCAGGACGAGGCGGGAGAGGGGCAGGGGCTACCGGGGGAGAGGGAGCAAGGAAAAGGGGGGGGGCAACTGGGAGACCTCGGTGAGGGAAGCGGCGGTAGAAGGAGACGGACTCGTCAAAGGTGACGTCACGAGAGTGGAGGAAGCGGTGAGACGGCGGGTGGTAGAAAAGCCAGTCAGACGAGTCCAGGGGGAAACCGAGGAAGACACAGGGGACAGTGCGGGCAGTGAGCTTGTCCGTGCCAGAGGCACGAACGTGAGCAAGGCAGCCCCAGACGTGGAACGCAGACGCGTCACCGGGGGACCCGGTCCAAAGGAGGGTCGGCGAAACCTGCGGCCGCTGGGAGCGTGGCCACAGGTTAAGCTGGTGAGCCGCGTAGCGAATAGCGAACGGCCACAGAAAATGGGGGGCATCGGCATGGATCATGGAGGTACGGGCGACCTCCATGACCAAGCCGATGCGGCGCTCAGCAACCCCATTCTGCTGTGGCGAGTCCGGCAACGTGTACGACTGGGTGATGCCCTCCGCACGACAGAACTGTCCAAGCCGACCAGAGGCGAACTCGCCGCCACGGTCGGAGTGGAGACACAACACGGGGAGACCGCGGTGGAGACGCGCAGCCACAACCCACGGGAGAAGAACGTCGGGCACGTCGGCCTTCCGCTCCAGGGGAAACACCGTGGTGTAGCGCGTGTAGTCGTCGACAAGCACAAGGAAGTAGCGCTCACCGCGCGGTCCGGGGACGGGGGCAGGGCCCCAAACGTCCAAGTGCAGGGTCTGAAGGGGGGCAGTAGCAGGACGCAGCGAGGAGGAGTGAGGAGCACGGCGGAGCCGACCCTCGACGCAAGGCGTGCACGGTGGCGCAGTCGAGGGAGGAAGGGCAGGGAGCGACGCGGGGAGACCTAAGACAAGACCGTGCTGGGACATGTGACGCAGACGCGGGAGAGCAGGGTGACCTAAGCGGTGGTGCCAGAGAAGGGAGGGGTGAGTGAGGGACCGACACGAGCAAGCTGCAGCGACCTGGGAGGACGCACCAACCGGGGGGGAAGCGGTGTGTAGGGTAAACAGACCGGACACCGGGTCCCGGGGGAACGTCGCAAGGGGGGAACCTGAGACAGCCTCAGAACAGACAGCGAACCGCTCGTGCCCGGGGAACGTGGTGGTGACGCCGAGGTCCTGGAGACAGCCGACACCAACCAGGTTCCTGGAGAACGAGGGAACGTGGAGGCCAGTAAGGGAGCCCGAGGGAACTGCCGGACAGGGAAGGGACGTAGAACTGCGCGCGACGACCGGACCCGCAGAGGGGTCAGCGAGAGAGACAACAGCAGGTGCAGCAAGCGGCGTGAGCGTGGAACGGTCGCGGAAGAAGCAGGCAGAAGCACCAGAGTCGAGAGTGAAGGACAGCGACGCAGTGGCGGGGGCCGGGGACGGAGCCGGTGCAGCGACTAGACTAGGCAACCTAGGCAGTCCTACGCCTGTCGCAGCAGGGGAAGCTAAGCTACACAAGGGTGAAACACCTAAACTAGAGTACACAGGGTAGTAAGATCCATCAACACTAGAAGCGTCAGCATACAAAGCATGCAAAGCAGCACCTATCTGATCCATGTCTAACTCAAAGATCGGCACGCCCTGGCGGAGCAGGCTGTGCCAGTCAGGGAGGTCCGGGGCCGGGCCAAAGCGACGACGAAAAAGATCGTCGAGGCGGCGGAAACAGCGGGCGGTCGGGTGCGGGCTGCGGCACAGAGTGCCGCGGAGAGGCCCGGTCTGAAGCTGGTACTGGCAGGTCACAGCACTGGAGCCGCTGGTAGACGCCAAGCTGCGCGGGCCGCCACCACGGCCACCGCCTCCGGAGGTGCCGGGCCAACCAGGCGGGAGACGAGCCCACGGCTGCGGCGGGTGCTGCTGGGACGGCGGCTGCGGCTGGGGCTGGTCCTGCTGCTGCTGGGACTGCTGCTCCTGCCCACCAGTGGTAGTCCCCTCAGGCGGACTACCGTCACCACCACCACGACCACTACCACCTGCGTCACCACCCCTACCTCCCTGGCGGCCACGGCCACCGCGACGCGAGCGCTGCTGCGGGTGGACAGCAGCAGCCGTCTCGGTAAGAGGGGTCGCCGTGGCGACCGCAGCCGAAACGTCAGTGAACGTGCACGGGGATGGGGCACAGCCGTGAAAGATAGAGACTGCCGGCGCACCGCTCGACTGAGCGATAGTGCGCTGGCGAGTCTCGATCTCAGTGAGGGTGTCGACAAAGGCGGTCAGGGTGAGGTCACCCGGGTGCTGGCTAAGAAAGTGGTCGCGAGCACTAGCGAGGCGGTCTGGCAGGCGCATAGCGATAAAATAGAGCGTCATGCAGAAAGGAGGGGGGAGCGCAGTGAGCTGGGCAGCAGTGCTGGCAGTGCGATAGCGAGTCTCTAGGGCACGCAAATGAGTGGCAAAATCTGCGACAGTAGGGAAGGCAGCCAGGTCTGGGAACAGCATCGGAAAGAGCAAGCGGCCAGCAGAAGCGGAGGCAGGGGTGGAATAGCGAGCAATAACGGCGTCTAAATAAGCTTTGGCCGTTTCAACAGTAGCAAAACGCGAGCGCTCAGACACAGGGAGGGCGTGACTAATAGCAACCTGAGCTACTGCATCGCGTGAGTCCCAGATCGCACAGGCCAGCGCAGCAGTAGAGAAAGCCTCACGGTCATCAGAGGAGGGGTCAGCAGGGAGGGGAGTAGGTGCAGGGGGACGGGGGAGCAAGCCATCAGCATGGACAACCAGAGAGTGGCCATCCTGGCGCTGACCTGTAAGCTGGCGGCGAAGATCGGAGAGCCAGGCGGCGAAGTCAACCGCGTGGCCCTCAGCGTCCAGGCGGAGCACAAAGTCAGCCATCGTGCAGGGTCAGCGGCACAGCTCCTCAGCGACACAGCGGCACAGCAGCACAGCTCCTCAGCGGCACAGGAGCACAGCGGCGCGGGGACACGGCGGCAGCACTCTCCAGTAGGGCAGCAGCTAGGCGTCCCAGCGCAGGCAAGCAGAAGACACAGGGCCCGAGAGGACACGGCAGGCCGAGCAGGGGAGGCGGGCAGGTGCTCTGGGGCCGGGCTGGTGCTGGGAGGGGCCAGGCTGGTGCTGCTGGGGCCGGTCGGGCACGAGGAGGGGCCGGGCAGCGCTGAGGAGAGGCCGGGCGGCGCTAGGAAGGGGCCGGGCGGCACTAGGAGGAGGCCGGGCGGCACTAGGAGGAGGCCGAGCGGCACTAGGAGGAGGCCAGGCGGGCGAGCGCTAACAGCAGGCGCGACAGGGGCCAGCGGGCGCGACGGGGCCTAAGGGGCGCGACGGGGCCCAGCGGGCACGACGGGGCCCAGGGGGGGCGCGACGGGGCCGAGGAGGCGCGACGGGGCCCAGGGGGGCCGCGACGGGGCCTAACGGGCGCGACGGGGCCCAGGGGGGGCGCGACGGGGCCTAGCAGGCGCGACGGGGCCTAGGAAGCGCGAAGGGGCCCAGCGGGCGCGACGGGGCCTAGGAGGGGCGCGACGGGGCCGAACGGGCGCGACGGGGCCCAGAGGGGGGGGGACGCGACGGGGCTTAGGAGGCGCGACGATGCCTAGGAGGCACGACGGGGCTCAGCGGGCTCGACGGGGCCCATGGGGGGCGCGACGGGGCCTAGGAGGCGCAACGGGGCCCAGCGGGGGCGCGTTAGGGCCTAGGGGTCGCGACGGGACCCAGCGGGCGCGACGGGGCCTAGGGGGAGCGCGACGGGGCCTAGGAGGCGCGACGGGGCCCAGCGGGCACGACGGGGCCCAGGGGGGGCGCGACGGGGCCTAACGAGCGCGACGGGGCCCAGGGGGGGCGCGACGGGGCCTAGGGGGCGCGACGGGGCCTAGGAGGCGCGACGGGCGGAAGCGGTAGGCGGGGGGATCCTAACCTAAGCGTGATACCATGTTAACGTAGAAACGAATGATTACTAGAGGTGGAAACCTAGAACAAGTACTAGTTGGTTGTACTCACTAGAAGCATACCTCAGTCTAGCCTATAACTTCTACATAGATAATATGTATAAGTTGACAGAAGGAGTTTGTCTCCTTTACAGCAAACTCCTCTTCTAGTCGAATCACAATCTGTAAATTTTTTACTACAAAAAATTTCTCATGTTTGGTTCCTGTAGCCTCTCACTTGCTAGGGCCTTGACTTTGTACTGTCCTTTATATGTGTACTCAGACTGGACTTGTGTCCTCTTCTAGTGGCTGGACTAGTAGTGCCGCCCTAGCCTTGTTCTTGCCTTGTCCGTACTCCTTCTGACTGGTCTTTTAGACCCTTGTCTCACAGGTTGGACTAGTAGTGCCGCCCTGAGCTGCTTGTTTATGACATTCCCCTATGCAGTCTAGGGGGTGTGTCAAACATGTGTAGTCGGTATGTTTGTATAGATTGTATAGGGTCACCTCTTAGAGGGTACAATTCTTAGGTATATCTTTCTGTACTCTCTCACTAGTCATCATTCACTTCTCCATTTTGATAAATAGAACTCTCTCCTTGTATGCCTCTCGTCTAGTTCACTCCCTTTTTCTCTCGTCAACTTCTCTCCTAGCTCCTAAACCCTCACGCCATTCCATGGCTTCCTTCCGTTCCTCCTATTCTACCTATGTAGTCTACTAAACATACACACATATGTTTGACAATGTGCTCTAATCGCTACTGAAAAGGGCGCATTCGTTCGCGCGTCCGAAACAGCCTAGTGGCGTAATCATCCAGACGAGCGCTAGGTATTTGCTGACGTCAGTCTATGGATGCTAGGTACAGTAAACTGCTTACAGAAATGCTGAAATAAGATCCTATCACAACTTCAACTTGCTACCTTGAGACGCTGCACCTGTTTCACAACATGGCACATGTATTGCACAACCAACACGACTCCAGCCTTGCTAGTGGGCCTATGCAAATTGACTGCCATATATATATACATGCTGAAACAACCACAGACTTTGTGGCGCTTGTCGGCCATTCCAGGAGAACCACCAAATATTCCTTCTCCAGTCAGTTGGTTGCTGGGCAGTACCATATCCTTCAGAATGTGGACCATGATGCATTTGAGAGGCCCCAACCATTGGCACACACCCAAGCACCACCAATCTTCTATGGCCCTTGGGACCGACTTCGAATCGGAGATGCTGGCTGGCTCTGGTGCAACCAGCCTGTCGCCCGCTGCTACACCTGCCCGCTACTTGCACTCTGCTGGTCCTTGGGCGAGCCGTCAGGCTGTGGGGCGAGGTGCACGCGGCAGACGGGGCAGGTGGTGTGCGCGGTGAGCCAGGCGTCGATGCACGGCTTGTGGAAGTGATGTCTGCACGGCAGGCGGTGCTGCACGTCGTTCAGCTGGTAATCTGTCAGACAGATGGGACACCTGCACGAACGAACAGTGGCGGAGGGAAGGAACGTATGGGATGGGAAGGCGACGATGTATCAGATGAACTGCAAACTGCCGGCAAAAAGCCACCATTTGAAGGAAGTTGAGAAGGTAAGCGGGATGGATGGAGACAATTAAGGGAAGAGTTGACGGGTGGGAGGGACATCGTGTTTGGCCACCTCTAAGCGGCAATTGAGCATCCGAAAGGCACTGCCCTGACAGTCTGACGTGTTGCATACCGCCCTGGACGTACTGGTCGTCTATACTCGCAAGATCGCGAGGCGCGATGACTACAACCGCCAATTGCCCCCTCACGTCATCAGGCAATCCCTGAAAAACACAGCACAGGTCACAAATCATGTCAGCCCACTAATCGAGCAAACAGTGCCGTGACACGCACGCTGCAGATTCCACAAATCATGCTACCACTTCTTGAATTAGCAGCATCAACCGAGCCCCTGCTACCTTGGCAATTTCCGGGTGGCGTTCCTGCGACGCGTCGCTTCTTGCGCCTTCCCCCGCCTGGCGCTTCCATGGGAACAGGCAGACGCCTATGCTGAGCAGTATGCACGCTACCACGATAAACACTTCGGCTCCTGATAGCTGCATGGACACTGTACGATACCTGCTGTAATCAAACTACCGTGTCGTTGATATAATTCCTGCGTGCGTGTAGCTCTACCTAGCTGCGGAACCGGATCAGATTGGGTAGGAAACCTGCAAGTGACATTTGAGACGTCAAGCAGCGATAGTATGGGGAGCTGCATCTCCGACATTCAGTGCCCCCCTGCTCAGAAGGTGGGATGGGATGGTGGAAAGGTGGCGTTGGTCTGTGTGGCGGGCTTTGTTGGCAGGTTTCATTTGCTCGTTTGCGGCTGAAATTTGAAGGAAATGGGTGGCCTGAGATGAGCGACTGTACAAAACGGAACTGGCCAATCTCGTTGACTGCTTCTCGAGCCACACACTGTACATCGACTGGACCTCCTCCTGCTCACTCACATGCATACCTCATCGTCTCATCTTGAGAGAGAATGCCCTGCCCAACCTTCGCGGGTTCGCCCGCTTGCCCACCATACGCGCCCCTTACACAGTGAAGAAGGCCTGTGAAGCTGGGGAACATCGTGGTCGAGGTGGAGGCACGGCAGCTCGAGGAGGCATGGACAGTTAGATCGCGTTCTGAAGTTTGGACGACCATGAAGTTGGACCATCGACTTGCCACGAGTGTTGGCTTGGCAAAAGCTGCGACTTTGGTTGGCAAAAGTTGGGTTGGTAAACTTTGACCAACCGCGGTGCCACACAGACGAAAGTTTGGGCGACGGGTCCTCGACATTTTGCCAGCGGATGGGCGTCGCGCCAGATCAGAATGTGTGCGAATGAGTACGACGCTGGACGAAAACCCCTAAACGTCGCATCTGAATGCGGGTTTTTCAGGCCATCGCCGCAGCAGTGGGTGTGTGTGAGTTTGTATTGGTACCCCTGCACCTTGGGGTGTTGATGAAGGCTTTGGTGAAGAAGAGTGGAGCATTCGACGGATGTGCGTGCGTCGGGCAGGGTGGTCCTGCTTTCTTGGCTTGGTCGACGTCACATTTTCTTGGCATGGCCGGCCAAGTCTCCAGAAACCAGGATTTCGCCCATGGTCGCAGCTATTCGTGGGTGCCCGTCGCACGAATTCTGCCCGGCAAAGTGTGGCTGGCTAAAACTCAAGCCGCATGGCTGAACATTGAAATGTGCAACTCCGACGTGGCGAGCCGCACGGTCAAACGTCATGGTCGTCCAAACTTCAGAACGCTGCCTCAGCCAAATGGAGCCTTTCTCGTGGGGGCTTCCTCGCTCGCTGCCCGTCCATGCAGCTTGGTGCAGACATGCCCCATATGAGGGAAATTTGGGATGGGAGATTCTAAACATTCATCCAAGTGGTCACATTTCAAAGAACGCGTGTCTGCTGGTATTGCGCCACGTGTAGGTGGTGACGTGCTGTGCGGAGTTCGAGCGTCAGCGTTAGGGAATATGCTTTTCTGACGAATAAACCCGGATACAGCGGAAGAAGCCGGACTCGCTATAATTGATAGAATGTACAAGAGTTCAGAATCCTTCAAGAACTAAACAAACAAAAGCGTTGGGCCAACCCTACCGTCCTCCTATTGGTTTTGCTAGTATAATGCTCCTCCTTGATGCGTTAAGACGATCATTGTCATGCTCCTCCTTGATGCGTTAAGACGATAATCAATCCCATATATACCATATCATTCCTAGGCCCTCTCATCCCTCCAAAGGAGTAGTCGGTATCACAAGCCAAGATATAGAGAACCACATGTCAAACATGTGTATCCACTATGCTTGCATAGACTGTATAGGGCCACCTCTTAGAGGGTACAACACTTAGGTATATTCACATGTACTCTCTCTCTCTCTCTACTCCATTATTCACTTCTCACTTTGATATGGTATCACGCGTCGGTTAGGATCCCCACCCTACCGCTTCCGCCCGTACCCTAGCTAGGCCCCGTCGCGCCCCTCCTAGCCCAGTCGCGCACCTCCTGGGCCCTGCCGCGCCTCCTAGCCAAGTCGCGCCCCTCCTGGGCCCTGCCGCGCCTCCTAGACCCGTCGCGCCCCTCCTGGGCCCCGTCGCGCCTCCTAGCCCAGTCGCGCCCCTCCTGGGCCCTGTCGCGCCTCCTAGACCCGTCGCGCCCCTCCTGGGCCCCGTCGCGCCTCCAAGCCCAGTCGCGCCCCTCCTGGGCCTTGCCGCGCCTCCTAGCCCCATCGCGCCCCTCCTGGGCCCCGTCGCGCCTCCTAGCCCAGTCGCGCCCCTCCTGGGCCCCGTCGCGCCTCCTAGCCCAGTCGCGCCCCCCCCCTCTGGGCCCCGTCGCGCCTCCTAGCCCATTCGCGCCCCTCCTGGGCCCCGTCGCGCCTCCTTGCCCAGTCCCGCCCCTCCTGGGCCCTGCCGCAACTCCTAGCCCCATCGCGCCCCTCCTGGGCCCCGTCGCGTCCCCCCTAGCCCCGTCGCGCCCCTCCTGGGCCCCATCACGCCTTTTAGCCCCGTCGCGCCCTGCCTGGCCCCATCGCGACCGCCTGGCCCCGTCGCGCCCTGCCTAGACCCGTCGCGCCCCTCCTGGGCCTCGTCGCGCCCTGCCTGGCCCCGCCGCGCCTGCCTGGCCCTACCGCGCCTGCCTGGCGCTCGTCCCAGCCGGCCCCGCGCCCGCCCTCGCGACCTCCGCGCCCGTCTGCTCGGCCCCTGCGCCCGTACCAGCCGGCCTCGCGCCCCTCCCGTCGGCCTGGTGCCCACTGCTTCTGGCCCCCGCGCCCGTCCTGCCCCGAGCTGTGTGCGGCCCCCTCGTCGTCCCTGCCCCAGCCCTGCATCCTCCTTGGTACTCTTCCTCACCACCTGCACCGCACTGCACAGCACTGCACCGCACGGCACTGCATGGTACTGCCCTGCACCGCGCTGCACCGCACTGCACCGCGCTGCACCGGACTGCACCGCCCTGCACCGCACTGCACCGCACTTTACAGTCCTGCACTGCTCCTGATGGCGGCGGAGCTTCGCTTCGACGCGAAAGGCCAGCCTCTGGAGTTCGAGGCATGGCTCGCCGACCTCCGTCGCCACCTCACTGGTCATCGGCAGAATGGCCACCCGCTTTCCGCACACCTTGACGGTACGCTACCCTGCCCAGACCCCCCTGCTGTTCTGCCCGCTAACCCCATACCCGCTGAGCGCGAGTCTACTGCTGCCACTGCCCTTGCGCGCTCTGTCTGGCTTTCCCGAGACGTTGTCGCTTAGCTTGCCATTAGCAATGCCCTTCCCCCGTCTTAGCGCCCTCGCTTTAGGTCCATCACTACCGCCCATGCTTACTTAGATGCTGTCATCAAGCGCTATTCCACCCCTCCTGCTGCCTCGGTGGGTCGCCTGATCCTCCCGATGCTCTTTCCCGACCTTGCGTCCTTCCCCACTGTCTCTGACCTAGCTGCACACCTGCGCTCGATAGATGAGGCCTGGCGCGCTGCCTGCACTCTCACACAGCTTAGAGCCCACCAGCCGCCCATTACCTCTACCCTCTACCTGCTTGCCACCCGCCTCCCTGACCGCCTTGACGCCGCTCGCGACCGCTTCCTTAGCATCAACCCTGGTGAGCTCACCCTCCCCGACTTTGTAGACACCCTGACTGTTTTCGAGACCCGCCACCGCTCCATCGCTCAGGCGAGCGGTACCGTGCCGGTCCCTATCTTTCAGGGTTGTGCCCCCGCTCAGTGTACCTTCTCCGATGGTTCTGTCGCTGTGGTTGAGACTGCTGCTGCAGCGCAACTTCGTTCGGGGAAGGGCCGCCGCCCCAAGGCTGGGCGCGGCGGAAGAGGCGGGGGTGCAGGAGGGGGTGGTGGTGGAGTCGGGTCGTCTGGTGCTGGAGCGGACGAGGGGACCCTGCCCGGTCCAACGGAGCCTCCGCCTCTGCAGACGCAGCAGCAGCAGCCGCAGCCGCACCAGCCGCACCAACCGCAGCACTCGCCGTAGACGAGGCAGGGGAGTGTCCTCCCGCCCGGGTGGCCTGGCACTGGAGGTGGTCGGGCGCGTAGTGGTGTGCCGAGTGGTGGTTCGGGAGGCGTGCGTTGTCAGTACCAGATCCAGACCGGTCCTCGCCACGGCTTCGTTTGCGGTAAGATCGGTCATACCACTCCCCGCTGTTTTCGTCGCCTGGACGACCTGTTTCGTCAGCGCTTCGGCCCTTCGTCAGACCTCCCGGACTGGCACAGTTTGCTTAGTCGTAGGATTCAGATTTTTGACTTGGACATGGATGCCATTGTTTTTGCTCTGCATGTGATGTATGCTGATGAGTCTAGTGCGCTCCCTGCTTATTACTCACTGTCGTCTAGTGTAGGTGTGCCTAGCTTAGCCTCCCCTGCTGCGTCAGGCGTAGGATCCCCTGCTTTGTTTAGCCTTGGTGCTTCCATTGTCGCCCCGTCGCCGGACGCCACTGCTTCGCTTTCCTTCACCTTGGACTCTGGCGCTTCCCGGTGCTTCTTGCGCGACTCTACTACACTGACGCCGCTTCCTGTTCCTGCTGCCGTTTCTCTTGCTGACCCCTCCGGCGGTCCGGTCGTCGCCCGCAGTTCCACCACCCTTCCCTGTCCGGCGGTTCCTTCGGGCTCTCTTACAGGTCTGCATATCCCCTCGTTCTCCAGGAACCTAGTTGGTGTCGGCTGCCTCCAGGACCTTGGCGTCACCACTACGTTCCCTGGTCACGAGCGGTATGCTGTCTGTACCGAGGCCGCCACTGGTGCCCCCCTGTCCACGTTCCCCCGGGACCCGATGTCCGGCCTGTTCACTCTGGACACCGTGACCCCCCCGGCTCGGGCGCCCCCTCAGGTGGCTGCGTCTACCCAGGTTGCTGCTGCCTGCTCCTGTCGGTCCCTCACTCACCCGACTCTCCTTTGGCACCACCGCCTAGGTCACCCTGCGCTCCCGCGTCTGCGTCATATGTCCCAGCACGGTCTCGTCCTTGGTCTCCCTGGTTCTCTCCCCGCTTTTCCCTCCTCCCCAGCCACACCCTGCATGCCTTGCGTCGAGGGTCGGCTTCGCCGTGCCCCTCACTCCTCCTCTTTTCCCCCTAATGCTGTGCTACTGCAAACCCTGCACATGGACGTCTGGGGCCCCGCCCCCGTCCATGGGCCGCGTCGAGAGCGCTACTTCCTTGTGCTTGTCGACGACTTCACTCGCTACACCTCGGTCTTTCCCCTGGAGCAGAAGGCCGACGTGCCTGACGCTCTCATCCCCTGGCTTGTCTCTGCCCGTGTCCACCGAGGTCTCCCTGTCTTGCGCCTTCACTCCGACTGTGGAGGCGAGTTTGCCTCATGTGTCCTTGGTCGCTTTTGTCGTGCGGAGGGCATCACCCAGACGTTCACCCTGTCAGACTCCCCACAGCAGAATGGGGTCGCTGAGCGACGCATCGGTTTGGTCATGGAGGTGGCTCGCACCTCCATGATCCATGCCGGTGCACCCCATTTTTTGTGGCCGTTCGTTGTGCGCTACGCTTCTCACCAGCTTAACCTGTGGCCGCACCCTCAGCAGCCGCAGGTT